CATTCTTGTTGTTGACTAATCAATCAATAAATATACTTTTATTTTACAGCACCTTTTCCTACACAAGGCAACATGAAGCGCCTCAGAACTCATAACACATCAGGCATAAATCATGAACAATAAAAAAAAAGTTAAAATCCCACAGGGAATTAAAAACAAAGATCAATATCACAAGAAATATTAAAAACATAACAAATAAAATCACACAGTAATTAAAAATATTAAAACATTAATCACAGATGGAATTTAAATCATTAATAGTCACAGTACATTAAAAAGTCCCTGTGCTTCTCAGAGTCCCAGCAGCAGGCCAGTCCCTGTGCTCCTCAGAGTCCCAGCAGGAGGCCAGTCCCTGTGCTCCTCAGAGTCCCAGCAGGAGGCCAGTCCCTGTGCTCCTCAGAGTCCCAGCAGGAGGCCAGTCCCTGTGCTCCTCAGAGTCCCAGCAGGAGTCCAGTCCCTGTGCTCCTCAGAGTCAAAGCAGCAGGAGGCCAGTCCCTGTGCTCCTCAGAGTCCCAGCCGGATCACAGGGCCCTAACATGTCACAGAGGTACTTTTTGACTAATAACCAAATCAATATCAAACTAAACTCTGCTAAACATCTGCTTTACATTTATATTCTACCATAAAACACATTCTTCTCAATAATAAGGGACTCATCGGTACAAAGGCCTCCGTGTGACGCAATCGCCCGGTCATCCGCGGCCGCCTCACACGTCTACTCTCATTTCCCTCAACGCCATCGACCCCAATCAACAAGTCCACCCCTCCCCCGACCCCACCACACCCCACCCCCCCCCTGCTGCTGCCCCTGCATCAGTCCCCTGCTTGTGAGAGGATGAGTTTGACCCCGGACCCCTGATGCTGACAGCTCAATCTGCTCTTTATGGCACCTGTCATAGCAGAGAAAGTGAAACCCGAGCGAGACACATGGCTTTAGGGCCCGTAGAAAAACACCGGCGGATTTGTCTTTGTGTAGTAAAGCCGTGCGGCGTCTGACCCGATCGGAAGGTTAACCGCTCCACACGCAGACGCCGACTGATGACTGCAGAAGTGACGGGCCGAAGACAATAATTTCAATAACTCTTTCAAACTAAACTCTGGATGAAACTGACCATTTGTAATTCATAGTCTGTTATTTTGACGCCTCCTCACCCGTACATCTACTTGCCTGTGGGCAGTTGTTGATGACGTCACCGAGATTTTCTTTTCTTGTCAAAAGTCTTGTAAAGGTTATATGTAAGTAGTAAGTATGTTATGTTTTAATTATATGGCGCTTTTCACAGACCAGAGTCAAAATCGGACTGAAACATGCTGTCTTCTTCTTCTACTTATTATTACATGGATTTTGCATGTTTGTAAGAAAGAGCCCTGTGAGCCAGTAATTGACTTTTTGGGAAAAGCTGATGAAAAGATGTGACGAATGCAAAAAATACACACATATACTGTAGAAACTAGTGATAAGTAAGTAGAGTAAGTAATCTTTCTTACAATTTGTCTCTCCCTCCGCCGTACAGGAGGTGCACGGCAGACCTATTGTGCATGTTTTTTAGCGGTAGGGGAAACCGGAGCACCCGGAGTGAACCTACACAGACGCAGGGAAACCATGCAAACTCCGCTCAGAAAGGCCCTTTTCCGACCGGGATTCGAAACCAGGACCTAGAGTACTATCCACTACTGCCCACAGAAGATAGAAGCCATTGTTTAAATAGCTGGGAACTAGTTTGGAAGTTATGCACCTTATCAGACTTAAATCCATACAGTGAGAATATTACATCTTTTTATGTGATTATTTTCCACTAAATACATATGTGCCTATTTTTAGCTGCATTAAAATTCTTCTATTTGCGCGCTGGGCCCACTCAGTGAAGCCTCCCTGGTGCATTGGCTGTGATATTCTATTAACGTCTGCCAATAGATAATTAACACCTATGTATCCGGCGTGGCGCTCCGTCCCCGCTTCATCTAAAAGTAGACGCATTTGTTCTATTTGTGTCCGACCAAAATCAAAAAATAGATTATTTTTTTTTCAAAGTGGACTGCATTACGTTGTGTGCGTTCGGCCCAGAGACTGCGAAAGGCAACAGAAGGATGGATTCGTGGAAGGATAATTATGCAAAAAGAACAAGTCAAAAGTAGCAGGTACAGTGTAAAGCGACACACACGCACGCACACACACGCACACACACATACGCGTGCTCGGTATAGTGCTCGGCTTGCCTTCTGTTCCTCTCGCTGTTTCTGCTTCTTTGTCATCCTCTCTCGGTTCCAGGGAGAGCAGCGCTGGCATCCGCTCAGGCTGGGAGATCTTCTGAAAGACCTCTTCTTCTAACTTTGTGCCAGATCGGCTCTATACCCTAGTGGGAGTGCGTTTAAGTCCCCCCCCCCATCTGCTTCTGCTCGCATTATCTCGCTCCAGGGCAGGCACCTAGCCCAAAAATACACTCTAAAAAAACACACTTTGAGAATCATCTTTTGTGCTGATGACGCGTTTTTTGTTCTTTTTTTTTTACAGTTGTATGAAGCCCACACACGCGGCACAAAGCAGGGGTGGATTTGGACTATTTTATCTTTTTTACCTTGCTTTTCAGAACAGCACATATCAAGAGGCAACACTGGCCTCTGGAGAGTGGAGGCCGCTAACTTCCTCTGAGCGTAGAGTGATCCAGTCCCCAAAGGTTAAATCAGTGGGAAATGTGTGTGTGTGTGTGTGTGTGTGTGTGTGTGTGTGTGCACTTGTTTTCAACTCCTGGTGGGTTCCATAACCTGAGATTCCACTCACGTCATGGGGACTGGTTTTACGTGGTGGGGCCCGAACACCGGACCCCACTGGTCCAAGCTTAATAATCAATGGGTAATGCTTTTCTAACGGTCCTTATGCAGTCTCTGTAAAAATATGGAAAGGACCCCTGGAGGTTTACTTTCCTGAAAAAAGTGTGTTATGTGTCGGAACCCTGGTGGTGGGTTGCGGGATATCAAGGAGGGGCACACTGGGGCAATTTCAGTCCAGCAGGCTGGAGCCAATCATGGAGCAGCACAACAGAGGAAATCAGGTGTCAGGCTAGAAAAAGGTGCAAGTGTGTGGTTCATTAGGCTGCAAGAAATCATGGAGGAGCACACTGAAGCGCACGCTTACAAACCACTGGTAAGTGCTGACTACAAGTCATGACTTCAAATTGTTATATAGAATGATTACAAATTATTTGTTGTTTGTGCAGCTTAGTCAAGAGTCCCTAATTGATGAAGTCGACTCAGATTCTGACGATTTAACTGTCAAGAAGAAACCTGTAAAAAAGTATGGAAAAAGAAAAATCAAAAACACTTTTCTTCAAGACTCGGAAAGTGACGAACCAAAGGCAAATAAGATTGTTATCATGCAGCTGCAAAAGAAGAAAAATGGGGGGCGAGTATACAGCAAGAGACACTTCTGCCTCTACTGTTCAATGTCCTGCCACAAAATGTCCCGTCATTTGACTAGAAAACATGGAAATGAAAGTGACGTAGCCAGAGCATTGGCTCTACCTGTGAAATCTAAAGCACGTAAACTTCAGTTTGATTTGATCAGGAATAGTGGAAACCGTGAGCACAATTTTGAGGTTTTAAAGGCCGGCATTGGAACTTTAGTCCCAGCTAAACAGCCAAATTGCCCAGTTAAATCCAGTGAGTTTTTGCACTGTATAGACTGTGGGGCATTGCTTAAGCGAAAGTCGCTGTGGAGGCATGTGGCCAGGTGCCGGCTTTCACAGAAAGATGCCCAGGCTAAACCAGGTAGAAGTAGGGTCCAGTCCCTCTGCTCCCTAGCCCAGCCTGTACCGGAGGGCATCAGCAAAAAGCTGTGGTCTTTAATTTCGGCAATGCATCAGGATGAGGTCACGGGTGTTGTCAAAGCAGAAAAGGGGATTCTGAGACTCGGAGAGCACCTGTACTTAAAACACGGGCATGATAAGACAAAGCATGATTACATTAGGCAGAAAATGAGAGAAGTCGGTAGGTTAATTAACGAAGCAAAAACCGCAGGGAAACTGAAAACAATTAAGGATTTCTTTATTCCTTCCAACTTTAACCATGTGATTGATGCAGTCAGGTCTGTGGCTGGATATGATGAGGAAACAAATCAATACAAGACTCCATCCTTGGCCCTCAAACTCGGCCATAGCCTCAGAAAGCTAGCAGATATTCTTGAATGTGACTCAAAAATGGAGCATTGTGTTGATGAACTATTTATTAAAAACCTCCAACGAAGCCGGCTGCTTTTTGAGAAGAGGTGGGACGTCTGTGTTTCTTCTGCTGCCCTACAGACCCTCCGGCAAGCCAAGTGGAACACTCCGGACCTGCTCCCTCTGACTGAGGACGTTAGAGCCATGCATGCACATATTGAGGTATGTCGACCTGAATATGTGCAAACCCTAATAAGTGAGCCAACGTCTAAGCATTGGTCTAAACTGGCAGTTTTGACTCTTTGTGAGGTCATCATTTTCAATCGAAGAAGGGAAGGTGAGGTTTCAAAGATGCCACTGACAGCCTTTACCTTAAGAAGTAAGACTGGGATCCATTCTGACATTGCTCTGGGACTGTCCCAACTTGAGAAAAAGCTGTGTCAGCATTTTCAACGCATTGAAATTAAAGGGAAAAGAAGTCGGAAAGTGCCGGTTCTTTTGACTCCTGAAATGATTGCTTCGATGGAGGTGCTGGTGGAGAACAGAAGGGCCTGTTCCATCTCTGACCATAACCCATACTTCTTTTCCCGCCCGGGCGCAGACACCCACATCAGGGGATCAGACTCCCTACGCCAGGTAGCCAAAGAATGTGGTGCGGTGCATCCAGAGATGCTATCCTCAACCAAACTTAGAAAGCACATAGCTACTATGTCTACAGTTCTCAATATGAAAGAGAATGAGATGGACATACTTGCCAACTTCCTCGGCCATGACATTCGCATCCACAGGCAATATTACAGACTACCAGAGGGGACACTGGAGCTGGCCAAAATCAGCAAAGTGTTGATGGCCATGGAGCAGGGAAGAGTGACGGAATTCGAAGGAAAGAGCCTCGACCAGATACAAATTGAGCCTGAAGGTAATTCTTGATATTATTAAAATATGTATGATTTTTTTTCCCCTAAAGGCCACTTGTATTTTTATTTTCTGTGCGACAGGGAGAGCAGTAGAGATCCTCTCACAAACGGACGGGCTAAAAGAAACTTCAAGCGGAGAACCTTCAACCATTCATCCAGATGCACCCCATGGTAGTGGCAGTGCCCCTTCTGGTAAGTGTACCAGGTGGGGGATTACAGCCAGGCTGCTTGGTCCTCACCCTGGGAGTGTATATTGCTAATATATTTTTATTTCTCTCCCTAGAACGTGTAAGAAAGCCATGGTCTGCATCTGAGGTGAAGGCTGTGGAGAAGACCATGACACCTTTCATACAGACTGGAAAGGTCCCTGGGAAGTCTCACTGCCTGGCCTGCATTAATGCCTCACCAGATGACCTTAGACATCGGACATGGAGTGGCATTAAATTCTATGTCAAAAATAGAATCACTGCAATTCGAAAACAAAATCTAAAATAAAATTCCTTTAAAATAGTTGTTTGGTTTCTATTGACTGTTTTGTATTACTTAAAGTCTTGGTAAAAAAAGATTATGTCTATGGGTCCCATTCTGAACGGCCCTGTCAAAGGGACCCACCAGGTAACAAAAACGTGTATGTGTGTGTGTGTGTGTGTGTGTGTGTGTGTGTGTGTGTGTGTGTGTGTGTGTGTGTGTGTGTGTGTGTGTGTGTGTGTGTGTGTGTGTGTGTGTGTGTGTGTGTGTGTGTGTGTGTGTGTGTGTGTGTGTGTGTGTGTGTGGGTCTGATCCGAGGGCCAAGTCTTTGCGTCATTTTGTCCGTTTCAACATCAACACACTCTTCAATTATCTAATCTTGTCATTTTTGAAGTCAGTTAAAATTGTAGCATGAGTAGAGAATACTGATCAAGAACTTCAAAGGATAATTTCACATATTTTTGAGAAAACTGAGGCTGTCGTGCGCAGTGGTTTTGGCTAACCACTGATACAGTTTCATTTCAGATTCATTTTAATTTACCATTTTCAGTAAAGCCACAGTGTACAGGACATGAACTGCACTGTGTTGTTTTATTTTTTTACGAATTATGTGCCGTCATTTAACCAGGATTCCCAGAAAGTCCTTAATTTTGATTATTTCTTTTGAGGGGAGTCCTGGCCCAAGACAGGAAGGGCTTACAGTGTGCATGTTTTCAGTGGTAGCGGAAACCGGAGCACCAGCAGGACACACATGAACAAACTCTTGAGTCCAAGTAGTTTTTCAGTGAAACGAGATTAAAAACAAAAGAAATGCAACACGTTATCACAATCATTTCTCCAGGCCTAGTTATTCTCACTGATTCAAGGTTGAGACAAACCTTTGTAGTCTGTGGTGGCAGACAACATTTGTGGGCGGCACGGTGGCTGAGTGGATAGCACTCTCGCCTCTCAGCAAGAAGGTCCTAGGTTCGAATCCCGGTCGGACCAGGGCCTTTCTGAGTGGAGTTTGCATGTTCTCCCTGTGTCTGCGTAGGTTTCTTCCGGGTACTCCGGTTTCCCCTACCACTAAAAATATGTACATGTGCCTCCTGTACTGGCGACCCCGCTCCCATCTCTGTGTGGAGTGAGAGACAAATGCCCAAATAATAACAATTGTAAACCGCTTTGAGATTCAGATCTGCAGTGAAAAGGCGGTATATAACCAAGCAGGAGCACAGCAGACTCCGCCCATTTCCTCAAATCTTCAGGTTAAAACTGCAGCTCACCTGAGGAAATGGGCGGAGTCTGGTGTGACTTAAAAATTGGCTTTGGTCCATATCTGTGTAAAAGCAGCATTAAAGAGACAGACAGCCACAATAGATGCACTGGCGATTTCTGGGTAATATTTTTGGCACATAGGTACTGTCTGGAACCCTAGTTAATGCCATATACCCTATTTGCATTTGGAATCTGTATTATCCACTGTAAAGAATGAGAGTTACTATTCTGCTACTGTCAGTGAAGCAGAGGTGGAAAAAACATAGTTGTGGCTAAAAGAACTGACGATAGAATTTGCCTGGTGAAGAAAAGCCTCTTGTCGGCACGATCAAGAAACACACCAGGGGGTAGATATTCCAAATGTGTGTCAAAAATGAACAACCAAGAGAAGACTTCTGCAGTGTGAAGAATACAGAAAGTACAGATAGTTATTTTTTACACAACTCCGCAATCATAACTCAACAATAAACAAAAAATCAGTGAATAAATAAGTAAACAAATAAAAATATCTGTAAATTAAAAAGTAAATCAATTAATTAATACATGAGAAAATGAATACATAAATCAGTATATTGATAAATCAGTAAATAATTAAACAAACTATCCATTCAGGGGAGGCTATGGTGCAGGGGACTGAGCTCACAGCCGGTTTTGATGCTTTTGCTCATTTTAAAGACCCACAGAATATTATGTGTTATGACCATGAGAAATATGAAACCAGATTCTGAAAGACTGCACTTTCTACTTTCAGCAGCAAAAGTAAGTTTGTTTCTAGCTACTTTTTTTCTCCTGTAATCTCCAGTTGGATAGGGGAAGTTTGACAGAAATCACCGGTCTCAAACACGTCAATGAGCTAAGACAATTGTCGATTGTGAGTAACCGCTTCAAACTGTATACGCATTTTCAACAATTTTTCTCTTTTTAACCTAATTAATTTCTCCTCTATTCTGACCTCTTCTCTTTGACGCATTAGATTTACCCACTCGGGCCTCTCCAGTCTGTAGTCATGTGTCAAATGGTTTTGCAAATGGCCCAATTCACTGGGGACCAATTGACAGCTGCGTAAATCAGTCCGTCCCACAATGAGATGCACATGTTGCTGCCGGAGTGGGTGGTGGGTGGGTGTCAGGGGTCCTCAGAGGTCTTCAGAGGTCTTCAGAGGTCTTCAGGGTTAATAATGAGGTGAACTTGATCTAGTCCAGACCTGAAAACCAAATCCTTCTTGTCCCAGCCCCGAGGTAAGATTATCCAGTTATCTCCGCAGCAATCAGAAAATACACCAATCCTGATTTCTCTCTGTGTATATATATATTGGAGCATGGGTTCGCGGCTCACCTCTGTGTTGACGTGGGATTCCCAGTGGCGTGTTTGTGTTTTCCAGTGGCGTGTTCATGTTATGACTGGTGCGTTGAGTCTATATTTAGACTGAGCCATTGGGCAAAGGTGACGTGGGAGACGAGCTGCTTTATGTGGAGAGAAAGGTCCTGACCTCCTCAAAAGCAACGTTGCAAACAAAGAAACGGGCCGAGACACAAAGCACTGCTCAAACCAATCTGACCTGTTTTATTTTAAGTAAGGAATGCTTTTTTATGTAGTGCATTTTACAGAGCAAGGTCACCCCAAGCGCTTAACCATTTTTAAAGGAGACGTATGATGGTAGAGTTTGAGATTCTGTTTTGTTTTATTTTAGTATAGTTATTATTAATTTATCTTGTGCTGTGTGCTGCTCATTCATACTCTTGTGATGCAACACTGGAATTTCCCCACTCTGGGACGAATAAAGAATGTCTTCACCTTAATCTGTTATGAAAAATCTACTTCTATAGATGATGGTTATATTAGCGCTTTTTTCTCACTCCAAACACGGTGGTGATAAATTACTATTGTAGCCGCAACTGCCCTGGGGCACACTGACAGAAGCGAGGCAACCAGCCTGTGCCATCGGCTCCTCCCACCACCACCAGTCAATCACGCACACACCAGACTCATAAGAAGCAATGTGGGTGAAGTGTCTTGCCCAAGAACACAACAACAGCACTTTACAGCCGCAGCCGCCCCACTGTGGGACCGGGCATTCCAAGAAGTCTCCCATCGCAGTACTAACCAGGCCCCGCTTTGCTTAGCACCTGAGGCTTACCAGGATTAGGTTTCACAGGATTTTAACCGTGTTACAACATTGTTCCCTCATCAATATCAACCTGGAGTGGTTTTTAGACCCATCCAGGCTAATACCAGGAACTTCTGGCACAACCATAAACCGTGTCTCATTGAGCAGTTTTCAGCCTTTAAAACAAAACTTAATCATTTTGTTTTGGCAATTTTTCATGTGAATTCACGATCTTTGTTGTCTTTGGCAGTGGTTGCAGCCAGTAATTTTCAAATATGGAAAAAAACAAAATATAGACAGCTCCCTCTGGTGGTAGCCTTGGGAAAGAGCAGGCACATTGCATTATTTACCCTTCATACTTGTTTAACTGGACATAACATTAACATTCTCAAACATGGCATGACAACGTAAATAATCTCATTTTTATTTAAATGGTAAAAATAGTGCATAACATTTCCTCGTTAAATAAAAAAATACCGTTTGCTTTACCAATCTTGAATACTTCCATTACCGCCCATTTTTACTCAATAAATCTGGCATGAGTAATTCAACACCATGAATTATAAAAGTTCTTCGCACTGACTTTAAACCTGGCGATTGGACAAACCCACACGCCCTGGGGTCGAGTCTCTCTTGATAACAAATGCTTCGGCCTCCCTCATATGTATTAGAAGAGCTCTCTGATGGTCAGTCTGATACTTTTATTCGAGTTACTGAATTTAAAAGCCAGAAGCAGCTATAAGTTCAAACGAGCAGCTTGGTATTGAAGCTCCCAAACACTGTTTATAGAAAAGCAGGCTGCCTTAGTCACGCTTTAGACCGGGTTAAGGAGAGAGAAATGCTTCATAGCTGATTTATTTTTGTGTTCAATCGGCTGATTCGGATTCCCCTCAGACTACCTACATGAAACAGAAAACTGCAGTCATGGAAAATATTCTTCGTCCCATATATATATATATACATACATACAGTCATTCTCAAAATTAAACCCTCGCAAAAGGTCCCAATATGCATTTTCTCAAGATGACGATGAGAACGCTGCACAGACAGAACATAGAGGTTATTTGCTCTCAACTGAATAGAAAGTGAGTTATATAATGTTGAAATGTTGATACCGCAGAGCACTAATACTCATGTTTGGCCTTTAAACTTTATAAAATCTGTATCTTAACCCCAAACTACAAAATAAAACAGAAAAATAAAAATTTAATGAATGTCTCCTTTGGATATTTTTCTTATGTTTTTTCTGTTTACATAAAAAAAGGCTCAGTTTTTTCTGAATACCAAGAGTTCTTCTGCTGTAACAAATATGGATGGTTCGTATAATGGAGGCACTCGATAGGTCGGTTAATGGGGGTCACATCTGGATTTACAAAGACACTATCAGAATATAAACACTGGATCATGTGGAGTGTTGCCCAAAAGGAGGTGTGCGACACGGAAGAGCATTGTCCGTCTCTATAGTAATAATAATAATAACGCATTGGTTTTATACAGCGCTTTTTTGGACACTCAAAGACACAGTTGTGATAAACGACTATTGTAGCCACAGCTGCCCTGGGGCTCACTGACAGAAGCGAGGCAACCAGAATGTGCCATCGGCCCCTCCGACCACCACCAACCATTCACACACACACCAGACTCATTCTAGGCAATGTGGTTAAAGTGTCATGCCTAAGGACACAATCATAGTTTGGCACTTTACAGCCAGAGCCGCCCCACTGTGGCACCTGGTGTTCCCAGAGGTCTCCCATCACAGTACTGACCAGGCCGGTCTGACAGGATCTGGCTGTCACAGGCTGCACCCCACATCACGATCCTGGATTTTACGGTATAGATTTTAGATTAAGCTTTGTCTGACTTGTCACCTCTTTTCTATTGTTTTTTCACTTACTCAAAAAAGCTGATTTTTAAAATTTGCTCTTCAAGGACTTTTCTAGATTCTCATTGTTATATATATATAGAAAAAAAAATTAAAGTGGGTCCGTCAGAGCTATGGCACCTTCAATGTATAAATAGATCATAAATAATCATATAAATAAATGATGAAATACTAGTAAGTAAAAGTCAGTTACTTTACAAACTGACTTGGACACTGGTTAAAACTGCAACCTCCTGATTGGTCAAAACGAATTCAAATCCTTCAGGTCCCTCCTCATTGGTTTATCTGTTCTCCTTCAGCAAATCTTACTGGTCATAGTTATGCCAAGGGGAGGAACTGTTTTAAATTTGTTGGAAAATACTTACAGTAGATAACAGTACAACATCCCATGGTCAGAAATACATACACACATAATTTTGAAATACACTTGAAGTTGCTGCCATTACCTTTAGAATAACTTTTTCTCGCTAAAACAACGATTACACAGGTCAAACACACGATACGTCACCATTAAAGACGTGTGAGAGGCTATTTTTGGGTAGACTGAAGCAGATCGCGGCTCGACGACAGCCATCGCTCTCTGTCTGCAGCAGCCACACATACATACTCGCATACCCAAGTCCTTGTTAGACCACTCAACTTTGATTGATGAGGAAGAGGAGGGCAAATTGCTGTGTCCGTCCTGATGGATGACACATGGTTTGTCCTGATGTGCTGATCACCGAACGCCCAATACCCGCTCCCTCATCTCCCCTCCTACCCTGGACTGCCCCCGCCACCCCCCACCTGCTCTCCCATATCCCATTTTTTACAATTGATCAACACCACTTCTGCCTTTGAATTGAAAACATACATGAGCTCGGAGAGAGTTGTTTGACAGTATAGTCCCCTGGCCCCTCCCCCCGCCGCCCATATTTGGACTTCCACATCTATCTTTATCTGGCGTGGCGTGAGGCGTGACGGATCCGGTGGCACTGTTTGTTCAGCCTCATAAGCAGAGAGTCATGTTAAATAGACCCAGTGCTTTAGATTGATTATTGTTTATGCTGGTACCATTAGCGCTTGTTTCTGAATGAGGCGATATGGAGAAGGAGGAGGAATTAATAATAATAACAACAATCATCATAATGATAAGAATAAATATGATGATAATAATAATAGCAACAATCATCATAATAATAATAAATATGATGATAATAATAATAATAATAATAATAATGATCATGATAACAATAATGATAATAATAATAATAATAACAATCATGATAATAATAATAATAATAACAATCATGATAATAATAATAACAACAATCATCATAATAATAAGAATAAATATGATGATAATAATAATAACAATAATAATAATAATGATAATAATAATAATAATGATCATGATAATAATAATAATAATAATGATCATGATAATAATAATAACAATCATCATAATAATGGGGCGACAGTATGGATGGATGGATAATAATAATTCGTTTCTTGACGATACAGAAAGATCTAAGGAAGTGCAAGATCCAGGACATTTAGAAACATTAATAACATTTATGGACATTGGTCGTGACTCCTCCCTCTTCCTGTTTGTTATTCTTGCACTTCCTGTGTCTGAACTGTTTGATTCTCTGATCTGTTGTTGACAAATCGACAACTTTATAAAGTCCCCCGAGACAACTTCTGTTGTGTTTTAGGGCTGTACGAAATAAAATTGAATTGAATTGAACTTGGAATCCGAATTATTTTTAATTTTCATTATTTTTACTTTGCATGTAATTCTATGTGTTTGTGTTGAATTTTTATCTGCAGCACTTTGAGGGTTTGTGGAAATGAAAGGTGCATTATAAAAAAAAAAAAAATCATTAAATCTATCATATTAGTTTCACATTTGAAGTTCAAAAACAGAAATGAACAAACTTTCACATCCATCTATTAATCTACTTTTCCCACTTTACTTTTTGCACGCCGACCTTTATTTTGTGTTAAATAAAAGCAACATTATTAAGTTGATATTTTCCGAGTATTCCACTTTGAATAGTTCGCCGTGACAATACCACGCTTGATATTTCCCGCTCGCTTTGTTCTTCGCATCAGACTAAATCTAAGTCTTTCATTAAGAGCCACCGCGTTTGCCAAAGAATCACCTCTGTTCAAACAATACACACACTGTCCCAGTCAAGATTATACAATTCTCACTCCAAAACACACCGTTCGCTTTGTAATGTTTGACCGCAGGTGAGGGACGC